ACGCGAGCACCAATTCTTCTGAAAGGCACAATGCATATCTATTACAGCTTTGGATGCCCCCTCCTAATTTATCTGGGGTCTGGTACACATGTACTGAAGCCGAAAATCCACACATTCCCTCCTTTCTTAAGAAGCACTGATCATGCATATTTGGAGGATCACATGTAGCACATTCATTCTATATGTTTTGTCACAGCATCAGAAAAATAATCTCTGAAATATATTCTCCAGCCCAGCCAGGAAAATTAGTGTATGAAAGTAAAGTGGAATTTGGGCACTGAACAAAATTCTGCAGCGTTAGATAATTCTGGCTGGGTCACAACCTGTAATTGTGACTTTATGTGAAGTCTGAAAAGCTGGACTGGGAACCTTGTGCACATTGCCCAAAATATAATCAGTGCAGATAGGAAGTAGTTATACATGTGTATTCCTTTGGAGTAAATGACTCCTCCCCCTATATTTCATATCACCTTCTACTTATAAACACTGTAATATTTGTTCCAGACCTTTAAATGCATCTGTATATGCATCCCCATGATTTTTAAATACATTCTTTTAAAGAAATGGAGGGTTCCTAGTCCATCAGCATTGTATACTAATCAATAGTGAATCAGAAACTCAGATCATTTTTGAATTATCTAGCCCATGTCCCATGACCATGATTAACTCAACTTGGTTCTCATGAATGGACTCTTTCAATCTCCAGCAATCTCACTCCATTTGGAGACCATTTAGATTCCACTTTTAATGTAAGAATTGCAAAATGATGTCCCTTTCACCTAAAAAAGAGCATATGACTCTGTGACGCCTCCAGGCAGCAGGGGAACACCATAACTGGGGTCCAACTGGTCTTGAAAGCACCGAACTAGTCATGGCTTTCTTGCACAGGTTGTTTTATTTCAAGTTGACCATTCCAAGCACCTGAGTTGCATCATGCAGTGTGTGGTTGTGGTCACACCGGCAAGGTAATTGCACTTTGTTTCCACTTTAATTTAATCAGGAACATTTTTCTTTGGGTTGGGCTGATTAGATGCAGAAGGTTTTAAAAAAAATTGCACAGAGTGGTCACAGCCCTAATCACAATCATTGTGAAAGATGGCTGTCCAGATGGGCAAAATCGTACATTCAAAGAGCAAGTGCCAGGAAAATACTTGATTTTCCAGGGGGCAGGAAAAGCCGGAACCATTGTGAGAGTGAGCCTGCTTCGGCATGGGAGGCAGATTGGCACATGTGAACGGAAAATTTAAATGTGAGAGGGAAAAGCGGCAAACCATGATCAAAAGGACCGTGTGAACGCACCCTGTTTTACCCAGTAACGTTACCAGCTAAAGCAAGATTTGCAAATTTAGATTTTCAGAACTGCATCCATAGTTCAGTTCTATATCATTTAAAAGTTGGCCAAGATGAGGAGAACCTTGGTTCCAGTGATGACTCTTAAAATTTGCCCTCTTTAAAAATGTAATTGAAAAGAGATTTGCTGTGTCATTGTTGTTTCCTTACCAGTATCTAATCCCTACCTTTCCCCTTCATTTCTGCCCCTTTCCAATGTCCATATCTGAGGCCAAGAGCCCTGGTTTCCTGAACAGAGTTTTCTTCAGAGCGTCTTTCACCTCCTGATTTCTGAGGCAGTAAATGATCGGGTTGCAAAGAGGGACTACAACAGCATAAAGAACTGAGACCAGTTTGCTAGAATTGAAGGAAGAGATGGCTTTGGGTCGGGCATAGATGAAAATGCTGGCAGCATAGAAGATGACAACCACTGTGAGGTGAGAAGCACAGGTGGAGAAGGCTTTCTGCCGGCCTTTGGCAGAAGGGATCCGCAAGATGGTGGCAATGATGTAAATGTAGGATAGGACAGTGACACAGAGTGGGGTCAGGAGGATAAACAAGGCTAAGATGAAATCTGTCAGCTCGGACAAGGACATGTCAGTGCAGGACAAGTTCAGAAGTGGGGATACATCACAAAAGAAGTGGTTAATGATGTTGGGACCACAGTAAGTCAGCTGTGATATCAGGAGGACCTTCCACATAGAGATGAAGAAGCCACTTATCCATGATGTAGCTGCCAGTTGGACACAGAGAGGGCGTGTCATGATCACTGGGTAGCGCAGAGGGAAGCATATGGCAACATAGCGGTCATAGGCCATGACAGCAAGGAGCACACACTCGGTACAGCCTAATCCCAGGAAGAAATAGAGTTGCATCATGCAGCCCACAAAGGAGATGCGCTTATTCTCTATCAGGAAATTTGCCATAGTCTTAGGAAGGGTGACAGTGATATACCAGATCTCTAGGAAGGACAAGTTGCACAGGAAGAAGTACATAGGTTTATGGAGGTTGAAGTTCATCCAGACAGTCACCATTATTATGATGTTCTCAGTCAGTACCAATATGTAGACAATGAAGAACACCACAAAGAGCAAGATTTGGAATTCCACAGATGTGGGAAAGCCCAGAAGAATGAACTCTCTAACTCTGGACTGGTTTTGTCTCTCCATGGTAGAAGGCGTGTTCTGCATAGAAACAACAGTAACAATGGTTAGTTAACAGCTTTTGTTTGTTTGTGGAAAAGGTGCCAGTACACATATATAAGGTTGTTCTGATTTCCAACAATTCCCCCTGTACTCTGCAGATCCCCACTAGGCTGTTTCTTACAGTCCACTGTCCCTTTCTATTGCTGGGGGGAGGGGCAGGCCAGCACACAGGATCAGGACTTGGGAGAGTCCTGTGCATAAGTGCCACTACTAAATCCTGGTGAGTATTGTCACACACAACCCCCCCCCAGTGAGTTACAAAATAATAATAATAATAATAATAATAATAATAATAATAATAATAATAATAATAACAACAATGCTAACACAAATTATATATAAGGAAAAGCATCAAAGAGGCCATTTTCTGAGCAATTCAGTAGATAGAATGTAAAACAAACCGTCTCACTTCCCACCTGCAGCTTGCAAGGTAGCCATAAGCATTTCATTCACAGCCTCCAGGAAATATGTAATAAATTCTATTTAAGTTTTTTTTTAAAATTTTTTTTATTAAATATAAAAAAACAGTTAAAAATAAGAAAGCAAATCCTGGTGTTTATGCAGGGCAAACAGGGAGGTGAACCATTGATTTTTAAAATATAACAAATTCAAGAAAGATGTTATTTTAATTTTTAAAAAACCCTGTAGTATACTAGTAATGTCTGTCTGTCTGTCTGTCTGTCTGTCTATCACCTATCACATTTATAATCTCCCTTTCTTCCTGAAAGTCAAGAAAGATTACCAAATTTTAAATTAATCCAATAATAATAGTATAATATATACAAAAAAACAGTGTAAAGAAACTAGATTTTTTTTAAAAAAAGATGCAATAAAACAGTGTAATACAATAAACAAAGCAATAAAACTGCCTATCCTCCCTCCCCCCCGACATTAAATCTATGGCACTGTTCCCTTTATAATGCCCTCCTTAATGTGCAGAATATTAGTTGGAAACTGGTACTAATTTTCTCCAAAGGAGATCTGTGTTAGTCTGTTACAATAACAATAAACTGGAGTCTAGACTAACCACATTTTTACTGGAAAACTGGGACTGATTTTATCACTCTTGGGCTTCATTTTGATTTCTCTGCACTTGATTACTGTATATCTGGGGGATGGTTCACTGGTATGCATGACTTACTGACTTCCATGGGTGAATGAGTAACCACACTCACACATCTTCGGGTACAATGAAATGGAAGTTACCTGTCTTCAAATATAGGTAGTGCATACATATAGGCACACAAAAGCTTATACCTTGAATAAAACTTGGTTGGTCTGGACTAAAACTTTGCTCTAACCTGAATGTGTCTTTCTTCAGCATCCTTTTTTTGTACTCCTGAACAGTCAATACATATATCTTTAAAGAAATAACACTTACATTTTTAAAAAAAATCTGTGCTGAAGGATTCCATCAGATAACTTGCATAGCAGTGGATGGAGATGTGCGTGTGTGTGTGTTTCTTCCTAGGAGGAGAAGCTGTGCACACTGAAATAAAGAACTGTTTCTACTGTATCCAGATTGAGTAGTTTTGAGTCTGCAAGACAGAGTGAGCCAAACTTATCCAAACCTAGTAGAAAGGTTATGGTCTCAGGTGCTTTCATCCTGCATTGATTTAATAGACTTATCTTAGTTTGTACTTCACATTCCACATATTAGGTCAGTTGGGACATGATGAAATGACACTCTCTAGAAGTAGGCAATAACATAGTCTCCATTCCTAGGGAATTAACTGGAAAACTTTTCCAAAATGTTAGCCCTGTAAAATATTAGAACTGGTATTCATTTTAGTGAGACATTACAACAAACTTTATAGGGGGCACCTGGTCTTCGAGACAGCTGTGCTTCACTTCAGCTGTCATGGAAAAACATGGCTTAATTAATCAAACTATGGTTACTGTGCCTCTGAAAAAGTGGGCTGTAGTCAGGCAAAGCTAAACCTAGAACCAAATATTAATACTCCTTAAGGTATCACAGCACTTCAGCATCCTTTTATTGTACTCCTGAACAGTCAAGAGATAGCCCAGGCTATCCCAATCTGAGAAACTAAGCAGGGTTGGTCCTGGTCAGATGATGATGATGGTGGTGGTGGTCAGGGCCGGCCGCAGAGAAGTGCAGGGGAAGGGGGAAGCGCGCCAGTCTTGGGCCCTTTGCCAGGCAGGCAGGTCTGGGCCCGGAAGCACAGAGGGCTGCACGGGGCGCAGGGCTGGTGCTGGCAGAGAGCGAGGGCCCAGGGCGGAGGTGCGGCCTCCCTCTAGGCAGCGCAGGAGCAGCAGCAGGAGCAGCGTGGCCAGGAGCGTCTCCTGTGCAGCGCAGAACCCCTCGCCCGTCCAGAACACAGGACCCCTCATCGCCGAGCCACTGGAGGGGTGCACGGGCTGGCCTTGGCTGCCGCCTCCCTACATGGGGACTCTCCAGGGCAGTCAGAGGAAACGGCGGTGGCCGTTCCTCCTCCTCCGGGTGCAGCGGGCGGGTCTCAGGCAGCCCCGAGCCAGGCCAAAAGCAGGCAGGAAGGAAGGCTGGACGGGCTTCTCGCCGAGTCGCCTCCCCCCCCAGGCTACCTGCAGAGGAGGAGGAGGAGCGCGAGGGGCAGGACCCAGCGCCAGCCGGGCATTCCCCACCGGCGCCCCCTGTGCAGGGACTCTCCAGGGGACCCCGCCTCCCCCCCTACCTGCGAAGGAAGAGGAGCGCCTTCCAGAGCCACCCGCCCGCGCCTCTCCCCCCCAACACCACAAGCGGCGGTGGCGGGCCAGGGGGGAGGTGTGCCTTGCCTGCCCCCCGCACCCCAACCCCGCACCCCCGCCCCTCATCGCCCCTCAGCTCTGCAGGTCGGCCTGCCGGGGCCCCTCGCCTCTCCCCCTGAGGAGGAGGAGGAGAAGCGCCTTCCAAAGCCAGCCAGGAGGGCCTTGCCTGGCGGCAGCGCCACAGTTTCCAGCTGGGGGCGCTGATTGGGCTGGCGGCCTGGCAGTGGCCCGGGGATTTGCTCCTTGTGTGCCTTCCTGCCTGCCTCACCACGCTCCCCTTTGCCCCCTTCCCTCGCCCTTCTTGCCCTGGCCAGGCTGCAGGCTATGAGAGGCTGCTGGCGGCCGCCCCTGCCTCTCCTCCTGCGCCCCAACGGCTGGCTCGCGCTCTAGGCGACGGCCTAGTTCGCCTAGTGGGCGAGCCGGCCCTGGTGGTGGTGGTAGTAGTAGTTATTATCATCATATGACAGTGCATGTAGTATAGCCAGGAGATCCTAAGATTGTATGGCAGTCAGTTCTAGCTCTTTTAGTGTTAGGCACCACTAGGAATGGTGAGCTAGACTTGTTTTTAAGGCAAGAGACATATCAGAGGTAGTTTGCCATTGTCTGCCTTTTGTGTCACATCCCTGGTATTCCTTGGAGGTTGCCCTTCCAAATACTAGCCAGGGCCAACCCTGCTTAGCTTCTGAGATTTGATTAGATTGGGCTATCCTGGGCTATCCAGGTCAGGCTACCCTGGTCAGTATTTGGATGGGAGACCACCAAGAGATACCAGGGTTGTGACATGGAGGCAGGCAATGGCAAACCACCTCTGAGTGTCTCTTGCCTTGAAAACCCAGGGTTGCCAGGTCCCCTCATCTTGCTGGGGGGGGGAATCTGGGAGTCATTCTGGGAGTGGGCAGGAATATCCCCAATGCACTGACATCACACAGAAGTGATGTCATTGTGTTGGCAACATCGGGGGTGATATTCTGGTTTTTGGGCAAAACTATGGTAAAATCAGGGTCAAACCATACAGTTTTGCCCCCAAACCAAAGTGTCACTGTGCATGATATCAGCAAGTTGGGGACATCATGCAGGGATGTTACTGTTTGTGGGAAGGGGTTTCTAGAACAGCCGGCCAGCTGGCCGGCAGTGAGCAAAAGCTCCCAAAAGTGGGGGATTCCCTGCCTGCACCTGGGGAATGGCAACCCTGTGAAAACCCTACAGGGTTACCCCAAGTTGGCTAAAACAAATAATCAAAGGTATCACAAGACCCTTGTTTATTTCTGATGTAAGACTAACATGGCTACCCCCTGGAATTTCAGGTAGTGTGGTTATCTAAATGTGGGCCACTGCACTATGATTAATCAGGGCAGCTGAAACCAAGATCTGAAACATTTTTTTTAACTTAACTAAGGTTCTGAGCAGCATATGCATGTGGACATCCTGACTTAAGCCTGGTTTGATTCATGGGGCTGCCCTCACCACAATGGAGGTTAGAAAGCCAGCCAGGTCTTTGCAGGGGAGGCTGGAGACAGGAAGAGGGAGATGAAAACAGCATCTGTCCAGGCAAATCTGAATCTGAAATTTCATCTGTAAACTGAATGCTGGTTTCACAGATTAATCATAGTGAAAGTATAGTTTTGCATTATGTCTGGACCAAACTTGTCCCTTGCTCCATATATATAAACACGAGTCTTGGTCTCTGACTGATGAATTACTTGAGGTAATTGTTAACAGAAGGAAATAGTAGTAGTGGTATATTGGCTCCAAGCAGCTTTTTTGTTTATTAATTTATTTTATTTATTTAAAATGTATTAGTTGCATTTCTTGAAGAAAGGTTAAAGCACTTGGGGCTCTTTAGCTTGGAGAAACGATGGCTGAGGGATGACATGATGGAGGTTTATAAGATTATGCGTGGGATAGAGCAGGTAGAGAAAGAGGTACTTTTCGCCCTTTCTCACAATAAAAGAACTTGTGGGCACTCCATGAAATTGATGAGTGGTTGGGTTAGAACAGATAAAAGGAAGTACTTCTCCACCCAAAGAGTGATTAATACATGGAATTCACTCCCACAGGAGGTGTTGGTGGCTACAAGCATGGACGGCTTCAAGAGGAATGGGATAAACATATGGAGCAGAGGTCTATCGGTGGCTATTAGCCACAAGGTATAGATAGGGACTCCAGGGCAAATGATGCTCTGTATTTTAGGTGCTTGGGGGGGGGCAACAGTTGGAGGG